ACAATGTGGATGGAGGCTCACCAGCTGTCAATGCAGCTCAAGAGCATTGCTTTTTGAAAGTCCCATGTGGTGATGTGGCCCTTGTCGAAAAATATTTGTTCCAGGAAATTTCAAACAAACATCCGGGTGTTGCTTCTTTACAAGAAATCTCGTGTGCTGTCACTTACAATGCTGCCAAAGGCAGGGTGACATGCCTCACCCCTGCATTCTTGCAACTTTGAAGGGACACGCAATTTCCATCCACAGCAAATGTCTTTGGAAAACAAGCTTCGGTGGTATGCCCAACAGCCGCAACGTTTTATGTTTACTAATCTTTCTGAAGCCTGCTGCCAAGCCAAACGCTGGAAACACTTCAGCTCGGTTTCCGTGAGTTAAATGGCCACAAATCCTGTTGAACTTGACCTGGCTCTGCACCAAAGCCTCCCAAACCTTCTCCGGAACCCTGTTGAACATGACCTGGCTCTGCACCAAAGCCTCCCGGAACCTTCTCCGGAACCTTCACCAGAACCCTGTTGAACCTAACCTGGCTCTGCTCCAAAGCCTCCCGGAACCTTCTCCGGAACCCCGGAGCCCTGTTGAGCCTGACCTGGCTCTGCACCAAAGCCTCCCGGAACTTTATCCGGAACCCTGTTGAACCTACCAAAAGGCTCTGGAGGATTAAAAGGATTAAAAGGATTAAATCATTTAATCCTTTTAAACCGTTTAATCCTTTTGATCCTTTTAATCCTCCAGACCTCCCAGAATCCCAAGAAAAGCCCAGCAATTTAATTCTTTAAATCCTTTCAAAACCCTTTTGGACCGGGAATTCCGGACCCCCTGGAGGATTAAAAGGATTAAAAGGATTAAAAGGATTAAAAGGATTAAATCATTTAACCCTTCTAATCCTTTTAATCCCCTAAAGGGCTCTGGAGGATTAAAATGATTAAACGGATTAAACCATTTAATCCTTTTAATCCTTTTAATCCTCCAGACCTCCCAGAATCCCAAGAAAAGCCCAGCAATTTAATTCTTTAAATCCTTTTAATCCTTTTAATCCTCCAAAAGGCTCTGGAGGATTAAAAGGATTAAAAGGATTAAATCATCTAATCCTTTTAATCCTTTTAATCCTCCAAAAAGCTCTGGAGGATTAAAAGGATTAAAAGGATTAAATCATTTAGTCCTTTTAATCCTTTTAATCCCCCAAAAGGCTCTGGAGGATTAAAAGGATTAAATCATTTAATTCTTCAAATCCTCTCAATTATCCAAAAGGCTCTAAAAATTATCAGAATTAACCGGAACAAAATGGTACCTAAAGGTCTCTCGATCATATATATATATGATATACAAATGTATGTAAACAATCTGAATCTGGAATGCACTCTAAAACTTCTATGGCAACCAAACATGAATGGGCAGCCAAGCCACGCAAATCATGTTCAATGATGGTGAAACAATCGCTTTCGTAGACTTAAATAAGGTTTCGAATTTGACCGAGATTAATGGGAGTATGTGCTGTACATACATATTCATACATATATTTATGTACACACACACAGGTATATATATATAATTATACATGTACATAGATAGCCACCAACAGTGGCTGGTATAGCAAGAAATGTGGCAGCAATCAGCCATCATTGGATTGTGATTTGTTCGAAATAGATGTCTGGGGTATCCATGATAACCAAGTAATAGAAAGAATAGTATGTGCAACAAACTACTCCGCACATAACTTATAGCCAATGGATTTGTAAATTTTGGACCAAATGGGCGTGCGGGGCCCCAGAGAATGTCGAATTCTTGTGCTTGTTTTCATGTGCAAAATGGCCAGCTCATTGGCCGCCAACAGAATTGCGGGTACATGACTATACTTGATACTTCTTGTACTATCAAATTTAGTCAGAGGACCTCTATGTTTTCCCGTGGTCTTACCCTAGTCTGTGGACACAGCCAGGGTTTGAATTCGGTGTTGATCACAAGATGGGATTTCGTCACACGGCCGCATGGGCTCCCAAAATTATTAGCAACTTCGCTTGCAAGGAGTCTCGGAATCAATGTTGTACAAAAGTAATGCCAAATGGCATTCCGTCCCTTGCTAGCAGGGTCTCATGTCCGGTAATGGCCGGCAAAGACATCGTTTGCTGGAAACGCACGGTCAAAAAAAAGCTATGTGGGTCTCATTGTCGCGAACCTCCAAATGAATTGTGCAATATTGTGCAATGGAAGTATATTCTCTACTGCTGGGCCAAGTTGGAGATATAAATTACATGCCCAAGAATGTGGAAATGATTTTGCCGACAACGACTGACTTGCGAGAGCGAAACCATTTGGTTCTCACTAGGGCCACTAGGTATTACAGAATGACAGGTAGATCCTAGCGGATGGTTACGCATTACACTACCCACGTGAATCCATATTGCGCCCCCAGCGTGGTGTCTTGTTACTGAAGATTCCATGTTTGGTGCTTAACTCCCCAATGTTGCCGTCAAAGGCCCATTGTCGTTGGCAAGGTTTCCGTTTGATTTGGTGAAACCTGGATTCTGCCCCATGATTTGGACATGATACCCCAACTTTATCCAACTTGGGGGTTAACATTTAATATCTCAGTTGTACCAAATTTATCCAAATTTGTTGATCAGCATGCCCACAGTACCATGTCAAAATTGTCACCAGATCAACCCAGCATATGTGTCTTTTGTGGACCATGCATACCCCATACAGTACTCGTACCTGGAAGAACATGAAAGAGGACAACATGGAGACAACAAGCGCCATACGACACGTAACACGCGAGGCCTCACGCGACACCCCTTGCAACATGCCATGAGCCACGCAACACGCCCAGGGCCATGCAGCATGCGACGCAATCATGCGGCGTGCACCGTTCGCCTATATTTCTTGTATTTGTAAATGCATTGTATGACCCGCAGCTTTGGGCCCCGAACCCCTTCTGACAGTTTTCAGAAGATTACTTTGCTGGATTGGGAAGTATGTGCAATGTTGCCATTTCTGAAAGGAGCCAGGACATGTACGCCGTGCTCCCTGACATCGTGCCTGCGTATCCCTTGCATTCCCTTGTATACTGGTTTATCAACGTTTATCATGTTTTCTCTTTTGGGGAAACCAGTGCCCTGACCAAGTGGCTCTTCGAATTCACGGCTTCGTGGCCTCTAGGCAGTTTTGACCAGAAAAGCAGATATAGCAGTGCTGCTGCTACTACTACTACTACTAATAATAATAATGACAACAACAACTACTACTACTACCACTACCACTACCAGTACACTACTACTACTACCACTACTACTACCACTACTACTACTACTACTACTACTACTACTACCACGACTACTGCTAGGCAAACCATGGAAACTGAGATTTTTGGCCAGATTTATAGTTCATCGTAGGTCTATGTGCAAAACACTAGGAAGAAACTTCCAAATTTTATTTGCATCCTTTTGGTGATCTAAGCCTTGGGCCATGGCACATACAATGGAATCTCCCCAGATCTATGGGTTGCAAACAGCTAAGTAAGTGAGAGGGTTCTAATAAATCATCAAACATTTGGGTAAACCAATTGGTGAAGGATATTCCAATACTAAGTTGTCTTTTGCCATGCTTCTGTGAATACATGGAGGTGTCCTTTTAAAATGGGGTACCCCCCAAATTGTTATTTTTCTCAGGGATTTCAATTATAAAGCAACCACTTTGGGGGAACCCCATGTCAGGAAACACCTCCACATGAGCCTAGTCGACTGAAAGCCCAAAGAACGACATGACATTGTTTGCCGCTCTTCACAACAAGCCTCTGCAGCTTTCTCGGATGTTCCCCGGGTACAAGACCGAAATGGTGTTTCTGGAAATGGTAGGAATACAATGTGGGACCCGCCAGATGATCCAGATAGCTAAGTTAGTGATAGGCAAACCATGGCAAACTGAGATTTTTGGCCAGATTTATAGTTCATCGTAGTTCTATGTGCAAAACACGAGGAAGAAACTTATGATTTATGACAGCGTTCGACGGACCACATTTGAAACCATCCTATCTCCTTGGTGAGACTAGAATTATCCTCACCGATACATGTTATACATGTTGCTTGGCTGAAGATACACACTCATTTCACATCATTTGTTCATATTATGTTATCTAGTTTTTAATCGAAGGTGTTTTTTTTTTGTGAGCACATGATCCAGTTCTATCCAATTGTGCAGAGTCTAAGCCAGCCACTTTATCCCCTACGAAATTCCACCAAGATACCTGCTATTAACACAAACAACATATATATATAATATATATATATATTATTGATTATTTGATACGGTATCTTATTAATATATATATATATATGGAACCCCTAAAATACCTGATAATATCAATTAACACTTATCTGAAAATCAACAATATCACAATTAAGTAATGCCAATGTTGGTTTTCCCCTACGCAATGAGGTCACCGTGTCACCGCTACTTGCGTCACTACCTTTAGGACCATCCGAGCGACCCGTTGCAGAGTTGAACATGTGAGCCGACCCCATTCGCTGAAGATCTGAAAAGGTGCCGCGATGTCCCGGGAGATGTCTGTTTTGGGGTTCGGCATCACTTGAAATGGTGGTGAGGATGGTGAACTCGTGGTCAACCCCCTGGAAAAAAGTTTTTGGGAACGAGCTCCTTGGTACCAGAAATGTTTAGACCGATGTGCTTTTCCTTGAATGCCCAAGGCGCATGCACATTTGATCTCTTTAAGACTCACCACCCAATGAGTTTGAAGTTGATATTGTTGATCAACATAATTTCATCTGGACATGGCCATTCTTCTCGGAAACAACAGCGTCACCCGTCTGTTTTGGATGCATGTGGGGGTCGATTTCTCAATTAAATAAATATGTGTATATATATATTATATGTATATATATATATACATGGTGTTTTATTTATCTTGTCCATGTTGGTCCCGCAGCCAGTTTACCATCAAAACTTGCGCCATCCACCCGTTCCAGTTTGGACGTTTGGACCAGGTCATGGGCAAGGTGACCCTGGTGCCTTGGCCGATGTCACCACACATGGGACACATATCTTGTATTCGTACATTACACTAAGTACACTACACTAAGTACACTACACTAAGTACACTACACTAAGTGCACTACACTAAGTACACTACACTAAGCACACTACACTAAGTACACTACACTAAGTACACTACACTAAGTACACTACACTAAGTACACTACACTAAGTACACTACACTAAGTACACTACACTAAGTACACTACACCTACAACAACCACAACCACAACCACAACAACAACAACAACAACAACAACACCAACATCAACAACAACAACAACAACCACGACGACGACGACGACGACCACCACCACCACCACCACCACCACCACCAACTCCCTGCTCCCTGCTCCCTGCTTCCTGCTCCCTGCTCCCTGCTTCCCTGCTTCCCTGCTTCCCTGCTCCATGCTCCCTGCTCCCTGCTCCCTGCTCCCTGCTCCCTGCTCCCTGCTCCCTGCTCCCTACTCCCTACTCCCGACTCCCGACTCCCTACTCCCAGATCCCTACTCCCTACTCCCTACTCCCTCCTCCCTGCTCCCTGCTCCCTGCTCCCTGCTCCCTACTACCTGCTCCCTACTCCCTACTCCCTACTCCCTATCTACTCCCTATCTACTCCCTACCTACTCCCTACTACCTACTCCCTACTACCTACTCACAACCTATATACTACCTACTACCTACTATACTACTATCCTACTATCCTACTATACTACTACTATACTACTACTATACTACTACTATACTACCATACTACTATACTACTATACTACTATACATACTACTATACATACTACTATACATACTACTATACATACTACTATATTACTATATTACTATACTACCGGTACTACCTACTACCTACTACTACTACTACTACTACGACTACGACTACGACTACGACTACTACTACTACTACTATTACTACTACTATTACTACTACTACTACTACGACGACGACTACTACTACTACTACTAATACTACTACTACTACTATTACTACTACTACTACTACGACGACGACGACGACTACTAGTACTACTAGTACTACTAGTACTAGTAGTACTACTAGTACTACTACTACTACTACTACTACTACTACTAGTACTACTACTACTACTACTACTAGTACTACTAGTACTACTAGTACTACTAGTACTACTAGTACTACTAGTACTACTAGTACTACTCGTACTACTCGTACTAGTAGTACTACTAGTACTACTAGTACTACTAGTACTACTAGTACTACTCGTACTACTCGTACTAGTCGTACTACTAGTACTACTCGTACTACTCGTACTAGTCGTACTACTCGTACTACTCGTACTACTCGTACTACTCGTACTACTAGTACTACTAGTACAACTAGTACAACTAGTACAACTAGTACTACTAGTACTACTAGTACTACTAGTACTACTAGTACTACTAGTACTACTAGTACTACTAGTACTACTAGTACTACTAGTACTACTAGTACTACTAGTACTACCAGTACTACTAGTACTACTAGTACTACTAGTACTACTAGTACTACTAGTACTACTAGTACTACTAGTACTACTAGTACTACTAGTACTACTAGTACTAGTACTACCACTACTACCACTAGGGCAGTGGCTCTTCGAATTCACGGCTTCGTGGTCTCTAGGCAGTTTTGACCAGAAAAGCAGATATAGCAGTGCTGCTGCTACTACTACTACTAATAATAATAATGACAACAACAACAACTACTACTACTACCACTACCACTACCACTACCACTACTACTACTACTACCACTACTACTACTACTACAACTACAACTACAACTACAACTACAACAACAACAACAACAACAACTACTACTACTACTAGCTACTACTAGCTACTACTACTAGCTACTACTACTAACTACTACTACTAACTACTACTACTAACTACTACTACTAACTACTACTACTACTACTACTACTACTACTACTAACTACTAACTACTAACTACTAACTACTAACTACTAACTACTAACTACTAACTACTAACTACTAACTACTAACTACTAACTACTAACTACTAACTACTAACTACTACCTACTACTACTACCACTACGACCACGACCACGACCACGACTACGACTACGACTACGACTACGACTACCACTACTCCTACTACTCCTACTCCTCCTACTCCCTACTCCACCTACTACACCTACTACACCTACTACACCTACTACACCTACTACACCTACTACACCTACTACACCTACTACACCTACTACACCTACTACACCTACTCCACCTACTACACCTACTACACCTACTACACCTACTACACCTACTACACCTACTACACCTACTACACCTACTACACCTACTACACCTACTACACCTACTACACCTACTACACCTACTACACCTACTACACCTACTACACCTACTACACCTACTACACCTACTACACCGACTACACCTACTACACCGACTACACCTACTACACCTACTACACCTACTACACCTACTACACCTACTACACCTACTGCACCTACTACACCTACTACACCTACTACACCTACTACACCAACTACACCTACTACACCTACTACACCTACTACACCTACTACACCTACTACACCTACTACACCTACTACACCTACTACACCTACTACACCTACTACTACTACTACTACTACAACAACAGCTACTACAGCTACAACAAAAACTACTACAGCTACAGCTACAGCTACAGCTACAACAACAACAGCAACTACAACAACAACAGCAACAACGACAACAACAACAACAACTACTACTACTACTACTACTACCTACAACCTACAACCTACAACCTACAACCTACAACCTACTACTGCTACTACTACTACTGCTACTACTACTACTACTACGACGACTACGACTACGACTACGACTACGACTACGACTACTACTAGTACTACTAGTACTACTAGTACTACTAGTACTACTAGTACTACTAGTACTACTAGTACTACTAGTACTACTAGTACTACTACTACTACAACTACTACAGCTACAACAACGACTAGTACTACTGCTGCTACTACTACTACTACAACAATGAAAACTGTTACATTGCACAACACTGCAAATTACGCGCTACACTACATTACAACTACAAGTACAACTACAGTTACAACCACACTACTTTACACTACACTGCGCAAGACCACACTGCACTATACTACACTACAGTACACAACACTACAGTACACTACACTACGCTACATTACACTGCGCTAATTACGCCACACCACAGCTTAACTGCAACTGCGACTACAACTGCGCTATACTATATAATTACATTACACTGCAACTACAACTCCACTACACTACACTATACAGTTACAACTACAATTGCACTACACTAAACTACATATTATATAATGACCTCACGTCGTGACCTCCGTGGAATCATGGTGAATGTATATGGGGTAAATATCCCTAAGATAATTAGCTTTATTTCAGATTCGTGAATTATTATAGTTTACCAAGATTTCTTATTTTGATGGTTTACACTACATACACCACCCATCATGGTAAATTTGCTGATGGTTACCTTCATCACATTATTATTGAAATGCATGGTTTCGATACTTTGGTTGTTTGGCCCTTCCATTTGTGGTGAAAAAGTACGAGAGATCCATGGAAAAATGTGGAACAGGAATGACTTAGGATGACTTAGGTAGAATTGCAGCAGGGTCCGAACTCAAGTAACCAACAATCTAACAATTCCCACCAAGTTCGATCCCCAGATTGAAATAAATTGAAAAAACCCGTTGGTTGACTGGGGAATGCTCCAAACAGATCTAACATTAACATGACACTGATCTAACCCTGAACTGAGTACACCCAAGCTCAGCAATTTGGTGGTCGATGTTTTTCACGGTTCCGCAAATATTTAGAAACGGCAGTTTTTCTGCCAGACAAGTAAAGGAATGACCGTGGAAATGCTTTGAATCTACATTCATGCGCGGAGTCTCCGTGCCTGAGTGCCTATCTGGAGTACAGTATTTTGACTGGCTGACATCCGTTTGCTGGATAAATCAGTCTGGGGTATAGTGTGAAAATAGTATGGCACACCATTCCATCCAGGTTATCATCGGCCACTGTGGGCCCCATTTTGAGACAAGTACAACGGACTTCTGCAGCGCCCAGGCTTTTGCGTGCAGGGCCCACACCCGCTTTGGCGAGAGCATCCGGGTGGTGGGCGGCTGTCCCGAGCCACTTTGGCATGGATTGATCTGGCACGCCCATGAGTTTGAGTAGGCCCACAAGGTGCATTTTTGGATATGCCCCCCATTTCATTGGTCATCTTCTCAGTTGTGGTTGGATCACTTTACCTTCCAAGGACAAGATTTAGACATCCAAAAAAAATTGAACCTGGTTTTCCATGTTTTTCTCAGCCAGTTTTGGTGCCTCATGGTTCCGCCAGCAACTGCACCAGGCTTGGCAATTGGAATCCGGCCAGGGCACCAGCCCTCACCACAGATGTCCGCCTGGCGGGTTTGGAGATATCTTGGAATGATGCAGTATGATTTAAGAAGATTGGGTATGATGCTGCGACATCCCTTCAGTGACAAGATTGATGTTGTTGTTGAATGAACTCAGACGTGCGTTGGTTCAAAGAATCAACTCTTCCAGAATACATCAGATTCCAATGGCTGTCATGTGATTTATTCTATGCCATGGATTTGTTCAATAAAAATGCGCCAGGCTTCGGAATATCCCAAGTGGTTTGGGAACATTCAATGCCGAGCTGTGGGGAGCGCCAAGCTGTGCAAAGGGGCCAAAGGTGGTGGACATTTGGAACGTGGACATCAAAAATTACGGGGGCACAGTTGGAACATGTTGGCACTATTGGGAAGCGAAGCAACAAGAAACATCGGTTTCCGAGACATTTTTGTTGCAATAATATGGAGGGCAAACGCACAGCACAGTGTCTACACTCCATGCTACTTATAAGGGGACACACGTGAGACACAACTACCAGTAGTACCGCACAAGGCGGTGGCGGAAGTTTCAGAATAGGAAACCTATAGGAGACGTTGGTTGTTGTGAATCACGGATGGCAGAGCGAATCCACTGATTGACCCAAAGGTGGTTGGAGTTGTGTTTGCTGGAATGGTTGCAATGGTTGCAGTGGTCACCTCACCCACAACTGCTGGATGTAGTGTGATGTACTGCAACTGTAGTTGTAGTTGTAGCGTAGTGGAGTTGTAGTTGTGGTGTAATGTAATTAGTGTAGTGTAGTTGCAGTCATATAGTTGTAGATGTAGTTGTTTTGTAGTTGTAGTTGTAGTAGGTGTAGTTGTTGTTGTAGTTGTAGCTGTAGTTGTTGTGTGGTTGTAGTTGTTGTGTAGTGTAGGTGTAGTAGTAGTAGTAGTAGTAGTAGTAGTAGTAGTAGTAGTAGTTGTTGTTGTTGTTGTTGTTGTAGTAGCTGTAGTTGTTGTAGTTGTAGTTCTAGTTGTAGTTGTGTAGTTGTAGTTGTAGTTGTTGTTGTTGCTGTTGTTGTTGTTGTTGCTGTTGTTGTTGTTGTTGTTGTTGTTGTTGTTGTTGTTGTTGTTGTAGTTCTAGTTGTAGTTGTCGTGTAGTTGTTGTAGTTGTAGTTGTTGTAGTTGTAGTTGTCGTGTAGTTGTTGTAGTTGTAGTTGTTGTAGTTGTTGTGGTTGGTGTTGGTGTTGTTGTTGTTGCTGTTGCTGTTGCTGTTGTCGTCGAAGTTAGGGTAGTTAAGTTAGTGAAGTTAGTTAAGTTAGTCAAGTTAGTTAAGTTAATCAATGTCTACTTTTTCGACATCTTCACGTCAAAAAAGGCTCAAAACCCTGAGTTTTTTACACTTTTGACTTCGAAATGTGCTTCGCGCCACAACGGCGTGCACTTTTTTGACACTTTTTCGACATCTGACCCTCCAAAAGTGGTCCGAGACCGTCAGTTTTTAACACTTTTGACTTGGAAATGTGCTTCGCGCCACAACGGCGTGCACTTTTTCGACATCTCAACTTCCAAAAGTGGTCCGGACCTGAGGTGTTTTGTACCTTTTGACTTGGAAATGTGCTTCGCGCCACAACGGCGTGCACTTTTTCGACATCGCAACTTCCAAAAGTGGTCCGACCATGGTGTGTTTTGTACATTTTGACTTGGAAACGTGCTTTGCGCCACAACGGCGCGCACTTTTTCGACATCTCAACTTCCAAAAGTGGTCCGGACCTGAGGTGTTTTGTACCTTTTGACTTGGAAATGTGCTTCGCGCCACAACGGCGTGCAATTTTTCATCGCTCCTGTGACCAGCTGGCTCCGCACCCGCCGCTTTAGCGAGCCTACTTTTCGACCCTCCTGAGCCACAAATCATTGGAAAAACACAGTGTTTCGCGACTTTCCCACCTTTTCGCGCATCTGTATCTTCTTTCTTCTGACTCTTTCTCTTCTCATCTTCTCTCTTCTAATCTTCCTCTTCTCTCTGCCTCTCCCCTACTCTGCTTTTCATCTCTCCATATTGTCGGAAGTTTGACTTCTAAACTTCCTTCGATGAAGTCTACACATTGGCATATTTATGGATATTTTACATATAGTTCTGGGATGTTCTGGGCCTTGGTACTCTAATTCACCACTAGTCACTGGCATGTTTGGAAGAACAGCTGCATTCACATTTCAACAAGACCTGTATGCATTCACGCATTGGAATCCCTTGCAAGGTCTGGTAGATGCAGGTGGGTTGATCATTGATCATGGTTGATCGACCAACATTGGCGGTTTGGGTTGGTGCTTCACTCATGTTGAAATATATTGAACTACCCCCCAACCGATTTGTTCAAGTGATCCAACCGTTACCATCCGTCATGAAGTGTCACTGTCATCCTATCTTTGTTTAAGTTTAGCCATCATCATGGAACCAACTCAAGTTCCACCAGTCTTCTCACACCTGATGAGAACTTAGCTGGGGCCCCTTTGTCAGTGGGATTGAAAGTCGGAGAAGAGTTTGAACCTGGAAATGCAATGAAATGTGTATTGTCCATGATCATTCTAGATTCATATTCCCATTTTCGGTGGTCAATCCCTGGTGCTGTTGGTCCTGGATTTTACTCTGAGGTGGCAACAGAGCCTTGGTTATAATTTTTGAGGGACCGGCATTTGGGCCGTTGGGGAGCGGAAACATTGCAGGGATGAATAGCATTGTGTGAATTTGTGTATGAGACATCAAGTATAAACAAGGTCACGCCGCCCGCAATGACCCCGCGCAATTTGACCTTTTTTCCAGCATCTCAGTTTGCAGTTTTGCAACCCTTCCAGGGTTTTGTGACATTCGCATTTTGACATGACTTGCATTTCTATTGGGATTTGCATGACTTTGTAGTCATTTTCATGAATTTACAGTGGTCGAAGCATTCATTTTTTGTCCCCATACATTAAATTACTTTACTTCGTGTGATCCCCACCATGACATTTATACATGTTCTTACTGGCAAATCTTCTGGCATTCTATCTGACATATCTTCTGACATTCTATTTGGCATTCTATCTGGCATATCTTCTGGCATATGATCTGGCATATCTTCTGGCATATCTTCTGCATTCTATCTGGCATATCTTCTGGCATATATTCTGACATATCTTCTGGCATTCTATCTGACATATCTTCTGGCATATATTCTGACATATCTTCTGGCATATCTTCTGGCATATCTTCTGGCATATCTGGCATTCTATCTGGCATATCTTCTTCTGGCTATATTCTTGACATATCTCTGGCATATCGCATATCTTCTGGCATATCTATCATATCTTCTGGCATATATCTGGCATATCTTCTGGGCATTCTTCTGGCATCTTGGCATTCTATTCTGGCATTCTATCGGGCATATCTTCTGGCAGATCATGACATTCTTTCTGACATTCTTTCTAACTTTCTTCTGCACATTCTTATGTCCCATATCTTCCTACATGAGGGTCCGGCAGGAAAGTTGGCAGGGATATCGCGGTTGAGGTCCGGCAGGGAACACTGGCGCGTGGTCGTGGTTTGAGGTCCGGCAGGGAACACTGGGCGCGGATGGTCGTGGTTGAGGTCCGGAGGGAACACTGGGCGTGGATGGTCGTGGTTGAGGTCCGGCAGGGAACACTGGGCGTGGGTGGTCGTGGTTGAGGTCCGGCAGAGAACACTGTGGATCGCGGGTCGCAGTTGAGCAAGGACGACGAGGACGACGAGGACGACGAGGACGACAAGGACGACAAGGATGACAAGGAGGACGAGGAGGAGGAGGACGAGGCAGGAGGAGGCGGAGGAGGAGGAGGAGCAGGAGGAGGAGGAGGCAACTGACATAAATCTAACAACCCTCACCTGGCAGGTGGGGAAAAAACCGAAGTTTTTGTATTTTTCACTTGCAAGTCTTTGCCAACGTGCCAAGTTCTTTCAATCTCGCATCCTTGGCCAATTTCACCGCGTAGATGTAGCACACGTGCCAGAACGCTACAAAATGCGACAACAACGTAGCACCGCGTCAATGTCGCACACGGGCAAGAACGCTCCCAGAGATTTCTACAGCGTAGCAACATGTAATGTACGAAGTACAAGGAACGTTAACATCCCACCCCCCACCCCACCCCACACCATCAGCAGCGTAACAACATGTGACGTAGCAACGATCCCAGAGATCTCTACAGCGTAGCTACATGTAATGTACGAAGTGCAAGGAACGTTAACATCCCAACCCCCCACCCCACCCCAGACCATCAGCAAGCGTAACAACATGTGACGTAGCAACGATCCCAGAGATCTCTACAGCGTAGCATCATGTAATGTACGAAGTGCAAGGAACGTTAACATCCCACCCCCCACCCCACCCCACACCATCAGAAGTGTAAGAGAACGTACAGCAACGTAGCATGACGTATGTGCAGAATTGTAAGAGAACGTCACAGCTACGTAGCATGACGTTTGCAGAAGTGTAAGAGAACGCACAGCAAATGAACGTTATTAGCCCACCCCACCCCCCCCCCCCACCCCCCCCACCCCCAAAATCACAACACGCACATGGCCTCTTAGTGGCGTTGACACCCAAAACTTCTACCTGACGTGAGAACATCTGAAGTCGTGAGGCAAACCGCCTGGGGTCGTTAGAGGCGGCGTGAGCATAAACAAATGTAATATGGGTTGTGTACAATAAAATATACATCTTAACATAGTTATATAATGTTATATAATAATTATTATACAAAGAAGAATGTACATGACACAAACACATACATATGTACATATGAACATATGCATTAAAAAAAACCACCTTTGTGGACTGAACTAGAAAAGTTTGAAGGTGCAGAAAAACAGAATCAAAAATCAAGAGTCTGGCTAGAGGCCATATTTTGTCCCCTACATTCAGGGAAAAACATCAAAATAGTTGGAGGAGAATATCCGAGGACAGATTTCTGCCGAGTTGGAAATTTCAAGAATTATACATAGTCTGAGGCAAGACATTTCTTTCAGGGATCTTGAATTCAGGCTATTGTTTGCAGTTTGAGGGCTATATCGAGGGAAACTATTTGTTTTGAGTTTTTCAATGGCAATGAAACAGCTTACCCGTCGATGATGATGGTCTACGAAATCATGTTTGAGGGTTGGTGATAGGTGGAGATCGCCTGACCTCGGGAAACCAAGGAATACAAATTCGTCAAATTTGACGAGTTTAAAGGCATAGCAGTGTGGGAAGAAGGCCTGGCACCCAAGACAGGAAACGATCATTGTTGGGGATTTTAGGCTTGGGGGATATCAGGACCCTAAGTCTCCAACATTAGTAATTTCACTCGCCCTGAATTTTACGTAAAATCATCTGTTTTACTAACGTTATCTTAGGTATTCTTAGGTAAAATTTTATTTCAGGATATATTCAGTGAAAATTCCTTGAGATCCAGCTCAATGAACTTCGCTTGAGATACTTTTTGCTTGGACTTTACTTGAAACTGGATTTTGAAATACCTTCACTTGAGATGATCTTGGACTTCACTTGGGACCCACTTGAAACAACATATTATTTGAACATATTTGAGATGATCTTTGACTTTACTTGGGGCAGTGTAAACTGGAATTTTACTTGAGATGGCCTTGGACTTTACATGGGGTTCGGTTCAAAAGGAACTTTAATTGAAATTCAGTTCAATGAATTTTGTTTAAGGTTTATTTCAATGAATTTTACTTGAAACTCAGTTCAATCAGCTTTGTACTTGAGATTCAGTTCAATGAACCTTACTTGGGAACCATTTCTATGAACATTACCTGAGATTCAGTTCAAAAGGTACTTGCTTGGGATCCACTTCAATGATCTTTACTTGAGATTATTTTCAATGGATTTTGCTCCAGATTGCGTTGACCGTGACCGCCAGACATCATCAATGAAAAGCATGAATAATCTAAACAAAAATAAAAACACGTTTGAAATTCTTTTGAATTTATTGTGTAATTCTTATGCACTTTTGATGCACTTTTGATGCGCTCTTGATGCACTTTTGATGCACTTTGAGCAAAAGTTCATTAATTTTAAAAAGTGCATCAAAAGTGCATCAGAAGTGCATCAAAAGCGCATAAGAATTACATAAGGATCTCACAAGAACAAAATGTTTCTGGAATTATATTTCAAAATTATTTTGTGGGGAAGGCTGTGAAAGCTTCCACGGGGCAAAATCCCTGCTGTTTGTTACTTTGCCCCTTCACAGGGTCAGAAACATGAACCTGTCCAATTTACGGAAGTCTGTGATGCGCAGAAAATTCACCTAAACCCTGATAAGATTAACGGGCTAAAGACCTTGAGCCCCTATGATCAAGTAAATTCAGGTACAGCTCAAGTAGTTTCAACGCACTATTCATAGCATTTAAGAGAAAACAATTTCAACCTTCAGTTTCATCCCTGGCTTGAATCCCAGTAAGACTCAAGTATGTTCACCGGGACCCTGATTTAAAAGTTCATTCATGCAAAGTCGAACCATTTGCTTTGCATGTCTGGTTGCAATTCCTCTGGGACTTTACTTGAATATTCACTTGAGACTTTGATTTTGGAACACCCCTGAGACTTCGATTCTCTTTTTGCTTGAAACTATGCTTGGGCAGTAGCGACGTGGGAAAATACGATGGTCGAACATGTCCGGCCATCGTATTTTCCCACATTTCGCTTTTGAGACCAGCAGTCCCACCAACATAGCTAATAGTCAACAACCGTTTCCCAAAATCGTTTTATTAGCTTTGCAGACTAGTTCATGAACTTTTCATAAGTGCATCATCAAATGTGCATGATGAATTTCTCAGATTCTATTGAATCTAAAAGAAACACTAATGGTTTTCAAAGATTGCATTGATCAAACAATTATGGGAAATGTTCTCAAATAAAGTTAACTGGAGGTGATCCCAAAATCATCTGGAGCACTCTTCAAAGAAATTGTTCTCAAGTAAAGTTCATTGATTTTGTTGAGGTAAAATTAATTGGAGTTCTCAAGTAAAGTTCACTGGAATTATTCTCAAGTAAAGTCATTGGAGTTGTTCGCACATAAAATTGGCCGGTTGTTTCCTCAGGAAAAAATATTGGAGTTGCTCAAGTAAAGTTCACTGGAATTGTTGCCAAGTAAAGTCCAAGTGCAATCACCAGTGCAGTCTGAGGTAAAGTTAAATGAATGGAGGGTCCCTAAAGGCAGTCTCAAATAAAGTCAAATGGACGCCATATGAGATAAAATCAACTGCGTAATCACTCATGCCATGTCAACTGAATGCAAATTTGAGTAAACCCAAATGAAGACAATGTGAAACCGAATCTCCTCTGAAACATCGTTCATGGGTTTATTTTCCTATTGCTGTAATGTAAGTTCAGATGAAGAACCAATATTTTCCCCACAAATGTATTTGTTGAGAAACACAAACCAAGTAGATATAGTTGAAAATAAATTTCAGCAAGTGTCCGGAAACACTGTTTTCAGAATGTAAAAAAAGGCTAGTTAGGACACTTGAGGAAAACATGTGTCAATCCCTCCGCAAAAACATGTTTATGGAATTAAGATAAAAAATACAAAACCAAGAACCAGCAAAAACCAACGGGCCAACACAACCCCAAAGGGCGAAACAAACTAAAAAACACAAAAAACATAAAAAACCATTAAAAAACACAACAAACACCAAAACTACAAAAGGAACATAGTTTATACGTCATAAAAACAAAAAACCACTAAAGCCAAGATACAAAAAAACACATAAAAACCAGAAAAAAACAGAAACCAAGTTGAAAAATAACACAATCAAAAACAAAAAACATATTTTTCCATATTTTTAAAGTTTTCATAGATGTGGTTTAGTTATTCCTGTTTTAAATGTTTTTTTTTTTTTATGTGATTGCACTCTACCTAATTTGTTGGTCATTCCAAACTGGAATGATGCTCTTCAGTCACTCATGCAAATTCCAATGTAAATGTCTTATGTGCCACTAGAAATTTCTCATGTAAATCCCAATGTAGGTCCCCCAAATAAAAAGTTATTACTTGAGTGGTCACTTGCTAAGATTCTGCCTTTTGGCATCTAGCTTAAACGCACTACCACGGTTTAGCAAAATCCATATCAATTTGTTTATTGACAAAGCTTTATCTTGTGAACATTCTCAATGAACAACATTTGCTAAATCTTCAAGAAATATGTTAGCAGATTCTTTCCCATTTGTGGCTCCGTTTGCTTGGGCCACCAGCTCGCCCTCAGGCTTAGCTGAACCTTCGGGATGGCGATGGGGAGAGAGAGAGAGAGAGAGATTCTTTCCCATTTATCGCATGCATGGAAACTAGATAGAGAAACTTTTCATGTTTCACACAATTTATTCACATACTTGTATTGGATGAATTAGCCAAAAAACATGCGTAAATTCGTCCCAATCAATAAATTTAATAGCCAGTAGACTTACTGGTTTGGCTATGCATATCAAGTTGCTACGAATGGAAACAAATGATGCATTTTTGGTGCATTTTTGATGCACTTTTCCATAACAAATATTATATTTTACTAATTTTGCAAAAAATAACAAACATTTTACGAAAATATCTTCTGTTAAATTAGTAAAATTACTAGCTTTGGGGACTTGGGATGATCAATTGGGAGCTTAAATTAGTAGACATGTCCAGTTCAGGGAGATAAACCATCTCAGCAACCTAGTGGATTGCTACTCTTGTAGTATTATATATTATAATATATTTTGATATATTATAATCCTTGTTTTGAAACTAATTTCATTTATCGAACTCGTTTTGAACGCTACTCTGTGTGAACGAACTCTATGTGAAATGTCTGTGCGTGATGCGCCAGGCACGGAATCCAATAATTAGTTACTTGCCAATTACTCCTCTGCAGAACGATACATGTACATAAATTCCTGTTTACTAGTAGAGTTTTGTACAGATTGCTGTCTTCAAATTTCACCTTTCCGTAGACTGATTCTCTTTCCGCCTGATTTTGCCCCTCCATAATCTTTCGAACAGCAGGGCCAACGGCCGTAAGTCGCGAACTAAATCGGCTTTGGCAAAAAAAAAGTTATTCTAAAAGTGCCTTGCTGTATATACGTGGTGTTTGGCTGTTAAGTTGGATTCGATTTTGCTGGTCCAGGTGTGCGTATGAATGTCGGTTCATCATTTCTACTGTTACCACATGGGTCTGTGTGGCAAAGTCCTGCGCGGCAGTTCCAGCCCACTTGGGTTTGTCATTTGGGGATACCTGAATTCAGCCATCAGACCATAGAGAAAATGATGATAAACTCATATAATTATAAGAGGGATTGCAGGTTCATTTGAAGACAACCCCAATTCAACCCATAACCCTCACCTGGTGCACAGAACCTCTAGGGGACAACCGCTACTTTGATGACGGAGTGGTCACCCGAAGAGGTGAATTCGGAGAGCCACTTGACGTCACTGGAATGAGCCACTTGGGATTGGGGGAGTCATCCCCATAGCTGGCCGAACGACAACAGCGATTTTCAGGGTAGGACATCCAGTCTTGAAACATACCCACTTAAGTGGTTCACGCACCCGGCCTGGTACCTGAAAGAGACACCTTTGTTGAGCGACCGAATGCTGGGGTCCCCAAATACAATCATAGGCCCCCTAGTGAAAAGTGGGTTAAACATTGCACCGAGTTGCAGTTGACTCCAGAGCTGGTAGATCTCTGATCCATTTACTACCAATCTGGTTGAGTTATCATGTTTCCTAAAAGCCTGAAGATCGTTGCTATTGGTTCGGTTATGTTCTACCTGCAACCATAGTAATTATATAAACGTATAATATAGATAGTTATCATGCCAAACTTATACAAGAGTCCTTGTCTTATTCCTAGGCCGAATTGTTTGCTTGGATCTTTGCTTGCTGGATCATAGACAGATGGGCGAATGAGCGTAGCAAATCCTTTCTTGTGATGAGTCTGTACAATACTATAGTAGTGTTGCTGCTGGATTTAATTCGAAATGACAGAAAACATACGCGAATGAAAGCATTCTAAAAACATCGATGAACCACATCAACAAAGCCGCACCAGGAGGTAGACCTGAGGGTGTGTCTAGAAACAGGGGATAACCAAAACCACCGGCGTTTGTTTGTACTTGTTACTTCGTAATGTGCTGATTTCCGGGGGTCCTCCATATCCATACCAGTCTTTTCTTTGCTCAGACGGTTGGGTCGAGGTCCATCACCTCAATCTTTGGCGTGAAGGACCCTTTGTATGTGCCGAGGCGCCAAAGCCGTCTGGCTGGGGACAGCCCATGATTGGGTGAGTTTGTCATGATTTACAGCATTGGTGCCCATCGTCACTCTCCACTTAATGGGTTATGATGGTTATGTAATAAGCATGTAATATGATGATAATGATAAGAATCTTGACAATAATGACCATTGATCATACAAATATAAATAAATAAATATATACAATTTTATACATATATCTTCAAATATTAAAAATATAATATTGTGCATTATAAATCACATTTACTTTAATATATATATATATATATTATATTTAGTGTTTAATATCACCTTTTTTAATATTTGATATGAATTTTTTGGTTTAATATTTAACATATAATATGTAATATGTAGCGTGTAATTTAATATTTAGTATATATATATTTAAATATAGTATTTAGTTTGTAGTATTGAATATCATATATATATATATAATTTAATACATAGTAATTAGTATTAGATACAATACTATCGCAATATGGTCTTATTTGTTTTGGTTCTACCTTGTTGTGTTTCTCATGTTTTTTTCCTGAGGCAGATATCATTTAGGATGGTCGCCCAAGCCGCGCAAATCTGAGTGAAGGCTGGCAAGCGGGAAAATTGATACTCCTGCCGGGCAGCTGAGAGAGCAGCTGCTGCTGATGGAGTGGCAAAACTGTACAGGGCCAGGAACATTATTGTTCCCCAATTTGTAGGGGTACCATGGGGTCCCTAATTCTGACCCAATAACCCTTTCTGGATTGCATCCCACTTTACTCTTGGCTTGCGCAAAAAACAATTTGATAAAAAACCATCCTGAACTCCAAATAGTTCAGGTATACTATTAAAAACAAATGGTCAAAATAATTAGTTTTGGGTCAGTGATAGGATATATTTTTTATTTTCAAGCATTTTCCCAGGTCATTTCGGTTGTATTGCGTGTCACTTTCCACCTGTGAAACCTGTCCCTGCCCGGTTTGCGTGGCTGCGCATGAGGCAGTGCCCATTCCGAAGACGCCCAAAAATAAAGTAGCCACCGGAATGGCTGGCACGGGGCCCAGCACAGTGACCAGCGGTCCAGATCTTCATTGGTGATGGGTTTGTGTTTCTGCCAAAATGGGCGGAACACACAAAATTTGCCAGTTTACAGTTTACAGATGTTTACAATACATACAGTATTTTTTTTGCCGTTGCTAGAAATTAGATCGAGGTATACTCATTGCCGGACACACCCATAGAAATAAATGATTTGGTTTTATATGAATGAAGACACGCAAAGACTCAATGACACGCCACAAACCCCTTCTTTGTGGATGGTTTTTTAGTTCTGAAAACCTTTCCCAAATTGGTAGTAGTAATTACGATGCGCAATTTTTGATATGTGGTAAAACGGAGTCAAACAGGGCTGGTTAGTGACTGGCTTTACCACTTAATCGGTAAATTGGTTTCGAAAAAAAGGCTAGCCAGGGTTTTTGAACGGTGGATGTATCTATTCATCATTAACATATCTTATTAACATATATTAACATGGCACATATATATATATATATATACATATAATCATATATATATATATATCCCATGTTAAGGGACTCGGATTCGGAATGAATTGGGATGGGTCAAACTGATCCACCCAACATCGGATGACGTTGTTTGACGGTCCATGATCCGCCCAGATGAAACCTGGATCGCATCAAGCAATTTATCGTTGGGTTTCTAAGACAAGATACAGCAATTTTTAACACATAACATGATATAACATGTATAATATGACATTGTGTATATTCAATGTATATATATATTATATATATAATTATATATATAATTATATATATACACGTACAACATAACAACATACACACATGTATCTGTCGCGCTCTACGACTGATGATCATCCCATCCATGAGTTCTGGGAAGTCCTATCCCGAAAAAGGGGATTTCACAGAGGTTTGGATCAAGCTGTCGCTGTTTAAAACTTGCAACTGATGTTATGTTTGACTTGTACCAACCTAAAGAAAGTTGGGTTTAGTAAAGTCTTTCGTAGTGATGTAGCTAAGTTGAAATTAATCGTTCAGGGGATTGCGACACGTGTATATATATATATATACAGCAATTACAGCAATAACATAATAATATATTATATATAATACATTATATAATCAGATTGATTATATACTGTACTTATTTTCTACATCTCTTCCATTCATAAAACAGGTAGTCATACACATCACGCTCAGGTTGCCAAGATGAGCTGCACTTTCAAGTTGTCCCTCGCTTCAGCGTTCGAAGTGCCTATGCATCGCCTCTGGACTATGTCCGACTATTGTAGTGGAAGATAGAGCTCATATGAGCCCATGAACTTGACGTATATTCCAAGCTTGAGATACATGCCCAGAACATCCCAACAATATTTCTGAAATTGTGTGATAATATCTCCATGGTGTTGCAAATATGTTTGCACGAGAGTATCATGCTGCTGCAGCTGGGAATTCCCACGCTAGTCCTGCTTAAGCCTATTCCAATTTACGCGGGTCATTCTTTTGCAAAGTAGGTGCTGTCACGTTCTGTGACGTGTTCCAAACTGGAAAGGTAGAGCAACAAAAAAACTATATGCATGAATATATCTACACTACAGGACAAATGCAGACCTTGGAATTGTATGGATACAGTATCGCTCAGGATCCCAGAGCTAGGGGATTCCTCACTTCTAACCCATCCCCAGATTTGGTATCGCAAGGCCAGAATCGACAGGCGGTCAGCATGGCTTAGAGGGTACCTCATTCCATGCTCCCTGGACGATTTCTAAAACATACTGGCGTAGAATTGCGTAAAGTCATTCATAGACTTCTTTATTTCATTTCGTTTCATTTTATCTCTGTACGTTTTAGGGGAATCCTATATGCATACAGGCTCACCCAGCGTGATAATATATATATATATATGATAATGATAATATATATATATATATATATCAATACATATATGAGCAACCGTAAAAACCCCGGCAATACTAAATATGTATTCGACGGACATTGGCTTATGGAAATTGATGGAAATTGTTAAAAACACGAGGTAAGCGATGGGACCTTCCCAAATTAGCGATACCCCTTTTCAAGGTTATGTCATCATATTTCTCTAATATCCACATTAGCGATACCCAAATATCACATATTATTCATAGTTCATCATATATATATAAATACAGCAGTTTCCTGCAAGCGATACCCCCCAAGTTTACCATATATCATTATTGTACAAACGTGTGGTAAGCGATGGGACCTTCCCAAATTTGTGAATGTCCTTTCCGTGAACCTAGGGTTTTCACAATCGCTCATATATATATATATACACCAGTAGTACCGCACAAGGCGGTGGCGGAAGTTTCAAAAATAGGAAGCCTATAGGAGAGATTGGTTGTTGTGAATCACGGATGGCGGATGGCAGAGCGAATCCACTGATGGACCGAAAGGTGGTTGGAGCTGTGTTTTTTTGGAGTGGTTGGTTGCAATGGTTGCAGTGGTCACCTGGTCGGTCACCTCACCCACAACTGCTGGATGTAGTGTGGTGCAGTGCAGCTGTAGTTGTAGTGTAGTGGAGTTGTAGTTGTGGTGTAGTGTAATTATTTCAGTGTAGTTGCAGTTGCATGTGTGGTGGTGTAATGAGCGTAGTGTAACGTAACGTAATGTAATGTAATGTATTGTAATGTAGGGTAGCGTAGTGTAGTGTAATTGAGTGTAGTGTGGTGTGGTGTAGTGTGGTGTAGTGTGGTGTAGTGTGGTGTGTAGTGTGTAGTGTGTAGTGTGTAGTGTGTAGTGTGTAGTGTGTATAGTGTATAGTGTATAGTGTGTAGTGTGTAGTGTGTAGTGTGTAGTGTGTAGTGTGTAGTGTGTAGTGTGTAGTGTGTAGTGTGTAGTGTGTAGTGTGTAGTGTGTAGTGTATAGTGTATAGTGTATAGTGTATAGTGTAGTGTAGAGTGTAGAGAGTAGAGAGTAGAGAGTAGAGTGTAGAGTGTAGAGTGTAGTGTGTAGTGTGTAGTGTGTAGTGTGTAGTGTGTAGTGTGTAGTGTGTAGTGTGTAGTGTGTAGTGTGTAGTGTGTAGTGTGTAGTGTGTAGTGTGTAGTGTGTAGAGTGTAGAGTGTAGAGTGTAGAGTGTAGAGTGTAGAGTGTAGAGTGTAGAGTGTAGAGTGTAGAGTGTAGAGTGTAGAGTGTAGAGTGTAGTGTAGTGTTCTGTAATGCATTGTAGTTGTAGATGTAGTTGTATTAGTGTAGTGTAATTTAGTGTAGTGTACTGTAGTGAAGTGTAGTGTAGTGAGGTGTAGTGTAGTGGAGTGGGGTGTCGTGTAGTGTAGTGTAGTGTAATTAGTGTAGTGTAGTGTAGTCTTATGTTGGCGTAGTTGCAGTTGTAGTTGTAATTGTAGTTAATGTAATGTAGCGTAGTTTAGTGTAATGTAATTAGTGTAGTGTAATGTAACGCAGTGTAGCTGCAGTTGTAGTTGTAGCTGCAGGCGTAGTGTAGGGTAGTGTAATGTAATTAGTGTAGTGTAGTGTCGTCTTATGTAGTTGTAGTTGCAGTTGTAGTTGTAATTGTCTTTAATGTAATGTAGCGTAGTTTAGTGTAATGTAATTAGTGTAGTGTAATGTAATGCAGTGTAGCTGCAGTTGTAGTAGTTGTAGGCGTAGTGTAGTGTAGTGTAGCGTAGTGTAGTGTAGTGTAGTGTAGTGTCATTCAGTCTAGTGTAGTGTAGTGGAGTGTAGTGTAATTAGTGTAGTGTCGTGTAGCGTAGTGTAATGTAGAATAGTTGTAGTTGTAGTTGTTGTAGTTGTAGTAGTAGTAGTTGTTGTTAGTGTAGTGTAGTGTAATGTAGTGTAGTGTAGTGTATGGTGGTTGTAGTTGAAAATGCTACTTTTGAATACTTTTGACAAGGTCCCCAATCCCTTGCGCCTGCCACGCAAAAGAGCCATCTGAACGTCCAAAAGTGGTCCGAACCCCTGGTGCTTTTCACATTTTAACTTCGAAATGTGCTTCGCGCCACAATGGGTGCACTTTTTCGACAGCTCAATTTCCAAAAGTGGTCCGAAGCTGAGGTGTTTTTAGTTTTTTCACTTGCAAATGTGCTTCGCGCCACAACGGCGTGAATTTTTTCGACATCTCAACTTCCAAAAGTGGTCCGGACCTGTGTGTTTTGTACATTTTGACTTTACATGTGCTTCGCGCCACAACGGCGTGCAATTTTTCATCTCTCATCTGCCCAGCGGGCTCCGCAGCCGCCGCTTTAGCGAGCCTACTCTTCGACCCTCCGGAGCCACAAATCATTGGAAAAACACAGTGTTTTGCGACTTTCCTACCTTTTCGCGCACCTGGATCTTCTTTCTTCTGAGGCTTTCTCTTTTCTGATCTTCTTTCTTCTTTTCTTCTCTTCTCTGACTCTTCTCACCTCTGTTTTTCATTTGTCTATATTGTCGGAAGTTTGACTTCTAAACTTCCTTCGATCATACTAGCAGTACCGCACAAGGCGGTGGCGGAAGTTTCAAAAATAGGAAACCTATAGGAGAGGTTGGGTGTTGTGAATTAGGGATGGCAGAGCGAAGCCACTGATGGATCGAAAGGTGATTGATCTCTCTCACTCTTTCTCTGTCTTTCTCTGACTACTTACCTACCTACCTATCTACTATCTACGTATCTATTTATCTGAGCAAATTACAGCGACGTCACACGACCTCACTTGAAATTTGACCTAGATACCGAATTAAGCTCGTGATGTGCAAGTGAACTATGAGGGTGCTGATTCGATGTTTTTCCACTGTCAATGTTCTTCTCCTGTGCCTGCATCCTTTTTTCTTCCCTTGAGATGTAAAAAAATCCAACCGCAGTGCCGTAGGCTGCTTTTCCTTCTAGCCCTCCCCCACCCCATCTAGGCTGGCTTCCCTCCTAGCCTTCCCGCACCCCATCCGGAGACGTAAAGATTCCTACCGCAGTGCCGTAGGCTGGCTTCCCTCCTCCCCACCCCATCCGGAGATCCCATCCGGAGATGGACAGATTCCTACCGCAGTGCCGTAGGCTGGCTTCCCTCCTAGCCTTCCCGCACCACATCCGGAGAGGTAAAGATTCCTACCGCAGTGCCGTAGGCTGGCTTCCCTCCTCCCCACCCCATCCGGAGATCCCATCCGGAGATGGACAGATTCCTACCGCAGTGCCGTAGGCTGGCTTCCCTCCTAGCCTTCCCGCACCACATCCGGAGAGGTAAAGATTCCTACCGCAGTGCCGTAGGCTGGCTTCCCCCCAGCCCTCCCCCACCCCATCCGGAGACGTAAAAATTCTTACCGAGCGAACGCGCTCAGCGTCAGCAGGACCTGAGAAAAAACCCAGGCCTGCACTTGCGGAGCCGTCCTCGTCTGACTAGAAAAGTGGGGCTGCACGTCTTCTGGGAGCACGACCTCATATTTTCATTAAGTCACCACGACCTTGAAATATGAAATTCGACCCACAACCCGTGAAATATAGTAATTTGACCGGATTTATCTATCAATCTATGTCTCTCCCTCTTTCTTTCATCTAATTACCTATCTATCTATCTATCTACCTAATCTATCTATCTATCTATCTCTCTCTCTCTCTCTATCTCTCTATCTCTCTATCTCTCTATCTCTCTATCTCTCTATCTCTCTATCTATCTATCTATCTATCTATCTCTCTATCTCTCTATCTCTCTATCTCTCTATCTCTCTATCTATCTATCTATCTATCTCTCTCTATCTCTCTCTATCTCTCTCTATCTCTCTCTATCTCTCTATCTCTCTCTATCTCTCTCTATCTCTCTCTATCTCTCTCTATCTCTCTCTATCTCTCTCTATCTCTCTCTATCTCTCTCTATCTCCCTCTATCTCTCTCTATCTCTCTCTATCTCTCTCTATCTCTCTCTATCTCTCTCTATCTCTCTCTCTATCTCTCTCTATCTATCTATCTATCTATCTCTATCTATCTATCTCTATCTATCTATCTATCTCTCTATCTCTCTAACTCTCTATCTCTCTATCTCTCTCTTTCATCTGTCTATGTGTCTAGCTGTCTACCTGTCTATCTGCCTATCTATCTATCTATCTGTCTATCTGTCTACCTGTCTATCTGTGGTGCAGTGTCATTCACTGTAATGCAGTGTAGTGTAATGTAGTGTAGTGGAGTGTAGTGTAGTGTAATGTAGTGCAGTGTAGTGGAAGGTAGTGGAGTGTAGTGTAATGTAGTGTAGTGGAGTGTAGTGTAGTGTAATGTCGTGTAGTGTAGTGTAACTTAGTGTAGTGGAGTGTAGCGGAGTGTAGTGGAGTGTAGTGGAGTGTAGTGGAGTGTAGTGGAGTGTAGTGGTAGTTGTAGTATAGTGGAGTATAGTGTAGTGTAATGTAGTGAAGTGTAGTGGAAGGCAGTGTAGTGTAGTGTAATGTAGTGTAGTGTAGTGGAGTGTAGTGTGGTGTAATGTAGTGTAGTGATGTGTAGTGTAGTGTAGTGTAATTGAGTGTAATTGAGTGCTGTGTACTGTAGTGGAGTGTTGTGTAGTGGAATGTAGTGAAGTTGTAGTTGTAGTTGTAGTGTAGTGTATTGGAGTGTAGTGGTGGTCGTAGTTGAAAATGCTACAAAACCATCATGTTTTGCTCACTTTTGACAAGGTGCACAATCCCTTGCGCCTGCCACGCGAAGCGACATCTGAACTTCCAAAAGTGGTCCGAACCCCTGGTGCTTTTAACATTTTGACTTCGAAATGTGCTTCGCGCCACAATGTTGTGCACTTTTTCGACAGCTCAATTTCCAAAAGTGGTCCGAAGCTGAGGTGTTTTTAGCTTTTTCACTTGCAAATGTGCTTCGTGCCACAACGGCGTGAATTTTTTTGGACATCTCAACTTCCAAAAGTGGTCCGGACCTGTGTGTTTTGTGCATTTTGACTTCGACATGTGCTTCGCGCCACAACGGCGTGCATTTTTTCGACATCTGAACTTCCAAAAGTGGTCCGAACCCCTGGTGTTTTTAACATTTTGACTTCGAAATGCGCTTCGCGCCACAACGGCGTGCACTTTTTCGACATCGCAACTTCCAAAAGTGGTCCAATGCTGAGCAACGGCGTGCACTTTTTCGACATCTCAACTTCCAAAAGTGGTCCGAAGCTGATGTGTTTTGTACATTTTGACTTCAAAATGTGCTTCGCGCCACAACGGCGTGCACTTTTTCAACATCTCAACTTCCAAAAGTGGTCCGAAGCTGAGGTGTTTTGTACATTGTGACTTTACATGTGCTTCGCGCCACAACGGCGTGCAATTTTTCATCTCTCATCTGGCCAGCGGGCTCCGCAGCCGCCGCTTTAGCGAGCCTACTCTTCGACCCTCCGGAGCCACAAATCATTGGAAAAACACAGTGTTTTGCGACTTTCCTACCTTTTCGCGCACCTGGATCTTCTTTCTTCTGAGGCTTTCTCTTTTCTGATCTTCTTTCTTCTTTTCTTCTCTTCTCTGACTCTTCTCACCTCTGTTTTTCATTTGTCTATATTGTCGGAAGTTTGACTTCTAAACTTCCTTCGATCATATAATCCGAACAAACATTCGGTCTGCTCGCTCCCATCATTAATTTCACTGCTTCTCCTGTCTTCCCTCACAAGCTAGCGACCTTTTGTATATTGAATCCAGGTTTGCCCTTGGACTGGCATGGGCGACTACGTCTCCGTGGTCGGATCGTGCCCAGAGTATCTCGACAGCATCACCGGAACTGGATGCATGCATGATGATCCTCCTGGCTCGGAGCCGCATGAATTTTCCTGGCAATTTCCTATTTGCCGCGCACGGCACACAATTTAATTACCTGTGTCGACTCATAGTCACCAGTGGTAATTTGAAAGGTGTTCTGTTGTGCTAGTTTCAATCTACTGCAACCAACTGATGTTTGACATTTTTTGACATTTTTTGACCATGGTTGATTTGATAGGTTGAGAAGTCATTGCTCCGCTGTTCTGAGGCTCGGAAGCTGGGATGCCAAGAAAGGCAGGGTGCCGCACCCAACGTCAATGTGTGTTCTTTCTGGTCTGTATAAAGGTTTGGGGGTTGGTTATGGTTGGAAATTATGAACTTGATGGTCTACGATGGTTTCTAAACTGTATAATCCCATCCAATGGGGAATTTACACTTATTTGGAACCATTTAGGAGGTGTTTCAGGAGGGCTATTGTTTTGGCATTTTTTTTTGCCTTTTTTTTTGTCCTGGCTCCTGGTGGCTTCGTGGCTTCTGTGGCTTCGTGGCTTCTACCTACGGTCCTGGCTCCTGGTGGCTCCTGGTGGCTCCTGGTCGCTCCTGGTGGCTGGTGGTTCCTGGTGGCTCCTGGTGGGTCCGGTGGCTCGTGGCTTCCGTGGCTCCTGGTGGCTCCTGGTGGTTTCTGTGTCTTCTGTGGCTTCTGTGGCTTCTGCGGCTTCTGTGGCTTCTATGGCTTCTATGGCTCCTGGCTCCTCTGGCTCATCTATCATCTATCGATCAATCTATCGGTGAAGCATGTTCACCAGATGCATGTTGTGCATTAGATACACATCCATCTATCTCTATCTATATCTATATCTACATCTCTATCTTGGTATAAATATGTATCTCTATCTCTATCTATATCTATATCTAAAAAAAACTATCTAAGTCTGTCTACATCTATCTATGTCTATATCTATGTCTATAGCTATGTCTATATCTATGTCTATATCTATTTAAATCTATCTATATCTATCTATATCTATCTAAATAAATGTCTATATATCTAAATGTATCTATATATACCTATATCTATCTATATCTATCTATATCTATCTATATATCTATATATCTATATATCTATATATCTATATATCTATATATCTATATATCTATATATCTATATATCTATATCTATATATCTATACATATCTCTCTCTATATATATATATATATCTATTTCTATCTATATCTATCTATGTATCTACCTATCTACCTATCTACCTATCTACCTATCTACCTATCTACCTATCTATCTATCTATCTCTCTATCTCTCTATCTCTCTATCTCTCTATCTCTCTATCTCTCTATCTCTCTATCTCTCTATCTATCTATCTATCTATCTCTCTATCTCTCTATCTCTCTATCTATCTCTATCTATCTATCTCTCTATCTCTCTATCTCTCTCTATCTATCTATCTATCTATCTATCTATCTATCTATATCTATCTATCTATATCTATCTATCTATATATCTATATCTATCTATATCTATCTATATCTATCTATATCTATCTATATCTATCTATATCTATCTATATCTATCTGTATCTTTCTGTATCTTTCTGTATCTATCTATCTATCTATCTAACTATCTAAACGGTTTGCATTATCATCGAGATGATGTTCAAAGCCCAAGCCAACCCTGAACCAAGGCAGCAGATACAGTACACCAACCTTATATTAAAAATCTTAAACCAACACGGTGATAACATCCAATGAAACTATTGTGCATCGTTGTGCCTTAACTTAGCCTACATTCCTCATGTTTCCAGGGTGCATGTCGTGTAGTATGCACACCTTGCGTATCACATTCAACCCAGCACCTTGCATGTGACAATAGGTGTTTCCAATCTGCTTTGGGGGGGAGGCGCTGCGCCCTCCCCCCAAATCCCCCCCCTCCCGTTTTTTTTTGGTGAAATTAAATTAAATTCAAACATGCACACTTTTCAATACACTAGTTTGATTCGACCCTATATATATATATATGTATATTTATGTACACATATATATATGTATATATGTATATGTATATGTATATGTATATATATATATATATATATATATATGTATATGTATATATGTATTTTTATTTGTATTTATATATATATGTACATATATATATATACATATATATATATATGTACATATATATATACACATACACATATAGATATGTATATATATGTACATATAAAAGTAAACATGTATATATATATACTTTTATATGTACTTAAATATACACATACATTTAAATTTAGACATATATATATATTTACACATACGTATATACTCGTATATATATATATATGACATGTTTATGGTTGTTTATATACACAACGTTCATCCCAAAATAAACTATAAATAATCATGCGCAAGGGTATGCATCCACATAATTATAATTATTTGTATGTACATGTCGTATCCCTAAATAAGCCTTAATCCAACCCTAAAGAAGCCCTGATCAGACCCTAAACCGGCCCTGAAGAAAGCTTAAACCAACCCTAAATAGACCCTAAACAAATCTATATAGAAGAAACCATAAACCAACCCTAAACCAAACCCTGCATATATATTAAATAATTACACGTGTAAAGACATTGACCTACATATACATATAGTCATGATTAGTCATGCGTATATACCTCTTTACATCTACAATTTCTAGTTTGCACATCGTGTATTTCCAAAAACAATGAAAACCATGTAAAAATCAATGAAAACTCTGGAACAATCAATGAAAACAAATGAAAACTGAATGAAAACCATGCAGAAATTGAAAAAACAACATAGAAAAATTGAAGAAAACCATTGAAAAATGGAAGAACACTATGGAACAATCGAAGAACACCATAGAACAATTAAAGAAAACCATGGAAAAATTGAACAATGGAAACATTGAAGAAAATCATGGACAGACCAATGAAAACGATGGAAAACTCGATAAAAACCATGGAACAAAAATCTTGAAACCAATGGAAAATTTGATGAACAGTGCGAATGAGAGATTTTAGCTACAAAATGCAGCAAATGAAAAATTTTAGCTGCAAAAACCAAGGAAGGGAACCTGGACGACCAAAAAAAAATGCAAAAAAAAAAATCGCCCCCGGTGTTTCATATTAGGGGGATGGGATTTTCATGTTTTTCTGCTGCTCGGACGCCGACTGGCCAGGCATCAAATTGTGCACCTCTCCCGATCTGCCGGGAGCACAAGAGTTGCCATTTGGGATTGGCTAAGAGTTGTGATCAAATTACGGGTTCCAACAACAGTTGTAACTGGGAAGTGCTCGAAGACAGCATTCCCAAAATGCCATTGTTCGGTCCTGTGATGATTTGTTGTCATGTTGTCCATCAGCATCCTCCTATTGGGCTGTACCACAAGACCAATTTACATATATATATATATTATAATGATATATATATACATGAAAAAACTACTTGTCCCAAAGTCTAAAGTTGTCTAAATATTGGACCCAGCTAGAGTTGTATGCCCATCTCCCAAATATTAAGCACCCCCTATTATGTATTATAGATGACCGCAAGTATGTGTAAATCCCGTGAGAGCATATGCAGGGTGTTTAATATTAGGGGGGTGGTATACTACTTTAGCTTTGTATATCGTGCAACATGGAAACAGATTGTTTATCAGGAACTCTTCTTTCCACCCCAGGATTTGGCATCCTGAAAAAAAGCTCATCTGAAAATGGTATGCAGTAATATGCTGTTTTCCCCCTGTTTCCCCCACCCCAAAGCGGATGATGAAACCAATTTGCTTCGATGCTTTTCAATGATGAGTGGCTCAACCCGCAGTGACGGGGATGTTGGCAATTGGTGGGCGCTGCGCCCGAGGTTTCCAACCTGGGTCGGAGTGTTGCATCTGCCAAGTTGCTCATTTCGCATGGGACCAAGTGGGAAAGGGTCGGGGAAAGCATCAAAGGTGGGCAATCTCAGCAAGAAAATGGTGGTACTTCCAAGGAAAAAATGGGGTCTGATCCAAGCGACAGAAATCAATTCACCAACAGAAATGGATATTTGCTAACTATCATTTCTGTGGCTTGTTAGGAGCTACAGGAGGTTGTTCCCCATATATTCCCCATGCAGTTTTTTTGTAAACCTGGGATCATGATGGGGCAAAATCCAAGACCTCCGAACTACACACCAAGCTACCAGAAGGTACAAGCTTCTCGCCATTCGAAAATATTGAAACAAATGATGGCTATATTACATATAGTTTCATGATGGTTGGAGCATGTGCAAGCGAACAGTGAAATGATAATTTTGACAACATTACATTACACAATTGTAGTACGAAAAGTATCAGTTGCCATGTATACCCATGAATTAGCCGGTTCTTGTTTCGCAACGGTTTCGTCGCCGGTTTGCTAAACATTCTATTTATGGACTTCTTGTTGTTGTTTTCCCAGTCAGTGCTGGATTGTCCCAGGGGACGTGGAGTTCAAAGTGGTGATTGTTCGGCTTTCTTCTGTCGTGGGGGATCCTAGATCACCCTTTGGCAAGTTTGCCATCAGTTAATCAAGATACAGGGGAGTGGGAAGGTTAGGTTACCCCCAAGGTTGTCAAGACTCAAGACATGACATTGTAGCCTCCAGAAAGATCGAATCTGGAGAATTCCTATTTAAACATAATTTAATTGCCTGCGGCAAGCCCGCCGGCCATAGCCATTTGGTGCATAGAGACATTTTATATGAGCCTTCGGCGTAGTCGCAGACCGTGGCCTGGACAAAAACAAGGCCAGTGTGTGTGTAAAAAAGCATCTGTGCGTCGAAGCTGCGGTGTGTAAAGGCTTCTGTGTGTAAAAGCATCTGTGCGTCAAAGCTGCCGTGTGTAAAAGCTTCGGTGTGTGAAAGCGTCTGTGTGTATAAGCTTCTGTGTGTAAAAGCAGCTGTGCGTCAAAGCTGCGGTGTGTAAAAGCTTCTGTGTGTAAAAGCATCTGTGCATCAAAGCTGCGGTGTGTAAAAGCATGTAAAAGCTTCTGTGTGTAAAAGCATCTGTGCGTCAAAGCTGCCGTGTGTAAAAGCTTCGGTGTGTGAAAGCGTCTGGGTGTATAAGCGTCTGTGTGTAAAAGCAGCTGTGCGTCAAAGCTGCGGTGTGTAAAAGCTTCTGTGTGTGTAAAAGCATCTGTGCGTCAAAGCTGCGGTGTGTAAAAGCTTCTGTGTGTAAAAGCATCTGTGCGTCAAAGCTGCAGTGTGTAAAAGCTTGTGTGTGTAAAAGCTTCTGTGTGTAAAAGCCTCTGTGTGTAAAAGCTTCTTTGTGTAAAAGCTTCGGTGTGTGTAAAAGCATCTGTGCGTCAAAGCTGCCGTGTGTAAAAGCTTCTGTGTGTAAAAGCATCTGTGCGTCAAAGCTGCGGTGTGTAAAAGCTTCGGTGTGTGTAAAAGCATCTGTGCGTCAAAGCTGCGGTGTGTAAAAGCTTCTGTGTGTAAAAGCATCTGCGTCAAAGCTGCGGTGTGTAAAATAAAAGCTTCTGTGTGTAAAAGCATCTGTGCGTCAAAGCTGCCGTGTGTAAAAGCTTCTGTGTGTAAAAGCTTCTGTGTATAAAAGCCTCTGTGTGTAAAAGCTTCTGTGTGTAAAAGCTTCGGTGTGTGTAAAAGCATCTGTGCGTCAAAGCTGCCGTGTGTAAAAGCTTCTGTGTGTAAAAGCATCTGTGCGTCAAAGCTGCAGTGTGTAAAAGCTTCGGTGTGTGTAAAAGCATCTGTGCGTCAAAGCTGCGGTGTGTAAAAGCTTCTGTGTGTAAAAGCATCTGTGCGTCAAAGCTGCGGTGTGTAAAAAAAAGCTTCTGTGTGTAAAAGCATCTGTGCGTGAAAGCTGCCGTGTGTAAAAGCTTCTGTGTGTAAAAGCTTCTGTGTGTAAAAGCCTCTGTGTGTAAAAGCTGCTGTGTCTAAAAGCTTCTGTGCGTAAACTTCTGACGAGTCGAAGTCGGAGTAGGCGTCGGAGGAGGCGTAGGAGTGGGAGTAGGAGTGGGAGTAGGAGTGGGAGTGGTAGTAGTACCAGTGGCAGTAGTGGCAGTAGCAGTAGGGGGGTGACTTTGATTCAGACGAAGCAAAAACGCGCGGGAAGAGAACAAAGGATCAAGTACAACACCTCACAATCAGACACGCCGGCAGGCCGGCGGATTGCTAATAAATCTCCGTTCTATCTTCTTGGGGTTTACTGATCAGTTGGGGAAACATGGTGCTACACCCAGTTCTGCGAACCTTTGGAACCCTAGCCCTAGGGCCAAACGCCCTCGGGTGGAGGATGGATTGTCATTGATCGTTGAACAGCATTGGTAACATCCATTGTTCATGACCTTGAAACTGGGCCAACGTTTCACTTGTAATAGTAAATCTGCGCTATCTGCGCTCACTTGTGCCAGCAAACCAATACTTTTTTGGGGGTGACCCCCCTGCCTAGTCAGACAACATGTATTGCTGCCGGGTTGATAAAGTACTTATTTCCATGCACAGAGCCACTAGTATCAACGTACATGGACCATGGATAATATGTGAATCGCTGGCATGAATAATATATGATTTGAAGAAGAAAATTGTCCCTATTACTATTTGAAACATTTTGAAACCACCAACTAGTAGCAGCACAACTCTGGTTGGTGATATCCACTTTGTAAGAGACAAAACGTTCAAACCGCATGTGCGTTGGATATGAATCACCCAGTAATATTGCCATTAAACATCGGTATCCCCATTTCTACCCCCTTTAAAATAGCCACAAAATGGTGAGATTGACCCGAAACTTCTTCAGCTAAGGACTGGGAGTCAAACCCGAACCGACGGTTGAGTGAAGTCCTCAGTGACACTGGGATGCCGGAACATATGGCAAAACATTGCAAAACATAATGTTTAACATATACTGACTGCCAATTCAATATTATATATATACATAACTTTATAATATTATACATATATATATACACACATATACACATATATAATGTCATATATGTACATCTAATTATTTTGAAAAGCACAAGAACCCCCTGCAAAAACCAAATTCAGTTTCTGAAGTTTCAAATTCTGTGGGTCCATTTGCATTCGCTATCCAACAGCCTGGTCAGGTTTGCCTGAGGAAGAGGGTCCATGGGAGGTGCGAAGAGGATAGTTTTTTGTGAAAGAAATACAATGTGAAGGGAGAACTATGGAAATCTATGCTATTTCAATGCAATTATTGAATATGTTCAGCCATGCTCATACATTTTCAGGAAAATGGTTTTCAATTTTTTTCGCTGGCTATTCTATGAAGAAGCCCTCTATTTCCACCATGCATTTACAGATGATCTGGATGTATTTCAGCCATGTCCCATGTGCTGTGACCCAAAATCAGAAGTGAAGGCCCCTCCTTTTGAAACCAGGCCTTCTTGAACTTCAATTCGAACGGACTCAAGGTCGCAAAGCTCAGGACGCCCCAATTGTTTGGGTTTACCAATTGATCCGCAAACTTGTATTTGCATCACTCGTTGCTTCGAGTGATCCCCACCAACTGGCATGTTATCATGACATTGTATTTGGCATACTATCTGGCACCTATTCTGACATTATTTGTGACATGTATTCAGACATTCCATTTGGCAAATATGCTGACATGTTTTCTGACTATCTATCTGACATACATCCTGACATATTTGACATGAATTATATCTATTCTCACACTTTAACTGATACATATGGTGACATTTATTTGACGTATTGTCTGACATTCTATCTGACATATGTTTGAACAGGTTGTCCGACATGTTATTTGATATGATGTATCGATATCTTCAGACAGTCTAGTTGACATAGATTTTGACATTCGATGTGACATCTATTCTTGCAATTTACCTACCATTTTTTATCTGACACTCCGTGAACCCACCATTTACAAAAAACTACTAAACTCACTGTCACTACACCATCAATCCGTTTTTTCCAACTCCAAGACATGCCCATATTAGGGTTGATTTTTTACGATCCCCCAGTCCCCATTGGTCGGTTGTTATCCAAATCTAAAATAATCGTGTTTGCTTCCAATCTGGAGTTTCTTTTTTGAGTAAATATAATTGGTCTAATATTTTGATACTTCGTGAGGGGTCGAAATCAACCTAGGCAAGATGTTCATGATGTTGGCAATGTTTTGCGGATGTGACTAGTGATCTTAGCGTGCATGCATGGCTAAGTTTGATCAACAGCAGCTCACCAAAGATGCAATAAAAAAATCCCAGGAGCTCTCCGGTTGGAAATCCACACGGCAGCCAGTCGCCCAGTCTTCGATTCACAACTGCCGAGAGGCAATGCAAGAATGTCAAAATGCTGGACCGATGCATGGTGAATTGATTGCTTTGGGAATCGGGCACATATTATGAATAGATGGAGTTATCATTTTTTATCATTTTTACTTTCTATGTCATATAGCACATACTGAACCAATTCTGGGGCGCACGATCAAATTTGATGCATATGTGCCCGTACCAGCCCATACTCACATGGAAGGATGGGAAGGTCGTTGGGTAGGACCTGCGATCCTGGACGACGGGATAAAAACTCTTCCAGCTCGTCCCAACTGGACCCCAAAGATATATTTTGGAATATTTTGGACATAGTTTGCATTTACCCGCTATTTTGCGGGATGGCTTAAAAAAACAAAATCGAGGCTTAAAACATATGAATTTTGTTGACCTCGTCCTAGAGCTGAGTTGCTGAGATTTTTTCTTCAGAGAATCCACCAGTTTGGGGAACCCATGGGAAACACAAACGGCATCATCCCAAGGCAAAGAAGATCCCGCAGTGGTGGTGAAGGCTGCTTTCCAGCCCTGAGCCTCAGACAACGGTAGTCCATGAGTCATGTGGACCCTGAAGGCTCATTTTGTTGTTTTGGAATCATGATGTGTTCGATGTTTGAAAAAACACAGTTTCGACTTCTATGTTTGATGTTTTGACGTTTGACCAGTTGATGTATTTCCGGTTTATAATTAGAACAATCCATTAGATTGTTTAAGTATGTTTTTCGTTAAATTGTATGCATTTTTATTGATACCCTAAATTGGGTTTATGCTGAAGAGATATTTTTGATTAAACTTGTACGTTCCCCTTACTCTTAGTTGCCATAATTTATATCATAAACTGGGGTATCCAGCTGGCTTGAGACCACCCGGGCTGGAAAACTGCATCTGGCTCTGTTGCACTTGCGATAGCCTTGCCTCTCAAGGAAAACATGCAGTCGGCCTCCGGCTCAGTGACTGGACATCAGCAGGTTTTTTTCCTGGGGTCATCCTGGCTTGCAATCCCTTCACCTTGATCAGCCAGGATTTTCCTGGTGGAAAGGATGGTTTTCCTAGTCACTTTTTGCCGCTGGCGACCTGGGATTGCATGCTGTTAGACGATTGTACTGCCAGGCCTTGCGATGAACTTTTACATCAGCTAATTCACATTTGACGATTGACATAATCTTAACACAATTTACACACACATATATATATATATTATAATTATATATATATACACAGTAATTTAAATACAAATGTATCAAATTTCATAAGTTTTCGACATATGTGGTATCTGGCCGAGTCAGTCTGAGTTTGTATATTTAAGGTATTTGACCCATATGCATCAATATGTGGTCAGATACCCAACTAATCCCAACTATAAATGGTCAGATACCCAATTTTTGGTAGCTGGCCCGGTGCTGGCCCGGTGCTTCCAGAGGTTCCGAACGAACCAGCCCTTCAGCGGAAGGGTGAAGACGCAGGTGCGAACAAGTTCATTGATTGAACCAGCCAAAAATCACCAAAGGATGGAACTTTGATTAGCAAAACATTGGGATTTGAGCATTGATATCCTCACAAAAATGGAGGGATTCAGGAGAAACAGAGATCTGACCAATTAAATGAGGGTTTGACTGTCTAGAAAAGTGGGTCGTTCACCTTGTTGGTTGATTTGGGGCTTTCCTGCACTATCTGGAAGCTGAAAATTTGTGATGAGGAAACCGTTGCTACTCCCTGGTGCCAGGATGTGCGTTGCGACTTTCGGTTATGGCCTCAGCAAATTGTCCAAATGAGTCTTAGACGACACTTGACCCATCTTGATGTGGGAAGGCAGTGGGTAAAGTGGGGCAGTTTCGTGGACACGGTGAGGAAACTACCTTGTGGTAACTGAAACTTCCCCTATGTACATCCATTTGACTTTCCAATTAAGACAGGATTTCGGCCAAAAGTTTCAGAGGATACCTTCTTGAGAATCAAGATCAAGATCATGCTTCAATCTTGCATGGTGTTTGGTTTCGCACATGGCACATTTCGGTACCGAGGCTGGAGCTTATATGATAAAGAAGCCAGACGACTGTCATGTATGTTCCTTCCTTAGTTGCACTCGTCTTCAGCTGCCGCGGTGATTTGGCAGGCCAGCCACTTCAAACAATAAACATGATTGGGGGATATTTGGTTCCATGCTCTCTTTGCACTCAATGTGGTTGGTACGAAAGTATCTTTGAAAATGAAGGCCTAATGACCTAATGAACTCTCCCTACCTTTGAGAATCTTAGCTAGCAGGGGTAAAACCTGGGAAAACCGTGCTATTGGCGCGTTTTCTTAAGTGAAAGAGTTCTTCATTATATTCATGTGTTGTGCGATAGTCCCTGTATGGGGTGGGGTTGCTCACCAGACATATGGGGATGGGTGAGCGGGATCCAATAACGCTCACATGAACTTGCACACATGGACATAATATAGGGAGGGATAAGGTGGGGGGGGTGCAATAACGTTAACATACGTTAACATGAACTTGGACACATATGCAGGTGATGTCACGATAAATATGATGTTTACATCAGTTGCTATACAGATTGGTTAGCAGGGACACACACATGCATAAACACACACACACGACGTGTACGGCTACATTATGCCACATTACATTATTACATCATGTCACGCTACAACATCTTACATACAGACTTGCCAGTCACCCGGCGTGATCTTACATTTCCTAATGTCTCATTACATCGTGTTCCGCCACATGATATTCCACAGACTCGAGATGTGAGTCATACGACATGTTCTATTAGGCTACATGATGTTGCACTACATCATCATGTCATGCAACAGCTTGTTACATACACACGACTTGCCACTCACGCTCCGTCATCTTATGCTACCTGATGTCTCATCACATTATGTTCCGCTACAGGCTCGAGATGTGAGTCACTCAACACAATCTGCCGCGCCATAATGTTAAGTTACAAGTTTTCACCCTACATGAGGTAACGTTACATGTTGTTCCGCTGGTGTCTTCTCTGTTGTGAAGAGAATGTAAAGGCAACTTGATGGTGAATACTGGGAGCCCGGCTGGTGGCGAAGAGCATCGAAGAGCCAAAGAGAGCATACCAGCTGGATAGCTGGCCTGGCTTCCAAAACCAAGAAAGATAAATCCGCTCTTACAGTAGCATGCGTGCAAAAGTACGCATGGGAGCACGCAGGCAATCTCCTGCATGTGACCGGCTATGCTGTGAAGGAAGCAGCTGGTATGAGAGAAACAATGCAGCTGTGACGTTAAAATGAGGTTCATTCGAGGTCAAAAAACCGTCGCGAAACGAAGGTAATACGCAAGCGGCCTTTAAAAACAATGTGGAATCATCGCGGAGTTCTTCCGCCGGGGTATTTTTGAACTCACCATATGCTTGGTCTTGCTCAAAAATCTCAAAAATAGGGCACCCCATTCCATCTACTTCATCATCATATTTTCATATATTTTCCCATACAGTAACTGAATGTAACTGAGTGGCAGGTATAAATCCACTTTTTTTGGGACAAAATCACAAAGAATTCTGAAGTCATGTCAAATCCCCAAGATTGGATTTAATAATGTGAAATATCCCGCAAATTCATGCAAATTCAATCAAATTCGTAGAAATTCTAAGTTTTGCCATCCGTTTTGGAGACAAAACTGCAGAATTTATTGAGGTGAGGATGCGTTCTTCACCGACACTCATGCCCTGGGTGTGGCCGACGGAGTCGGCGGGCTAGTCGGGAAAGCCCAGAGATAATCGGCGGTCCGGTTTGTTTTCTTATTTGATCAATATTGATGATTAACATTGATTAACATAAGAAAATATGATGATTTACAAATTGATGATTAAAATCATTAACATTATTGATCAAAAAACATTGATGAAATTGCTGATTAACCATTGAGATCATTGAGAGTATTCACCAGATTATTCACCAAATGATGATTAACATTTTAACCAGTAGATTTTGGTGTGTTTTCTTTTTTGGGGAGAAATTCGATCACCTCAAAGGACAGTAACACCTGAGGAAAACTGACCCGACCAGGAACGATGATTTGACCACGAAGGCTTTATTCAAAAAATATAGGATTTTCATCTTCAACCAAGAAAATCAAGAAAGGCAGC